TATACATACATGTCCTCAGCTTTGTGGGGCACTCCAAGAAACGCGGGGCGGCACTGTGCAAAACAACAAAATCTACATTAGCTTTGCGTGACTAAAATAGTTTTAAAACTTTACATTATCTGTCTAAAAAACGAAATACTTCAGCCGTGGTGTCATCCTTCCTTCAGTGTGCAAAACTAGCTCCAATATTGATTCAGAATTTGAAAAAGTTTGGATTCAGCATTTGTTTTTACCGCTGTCACTCTCTCATGTGCACAGACGGCGGATCTGCGTGAACGAGCTGGGCAGATGTACAAATCTGCATTTGTTGACAGACAGTTTGGACTACTTATCTGTAATATGGGAATTATCAGACCGACAATATTTAATTGGATGAACATTTTTTAGTCTTATGCCTCACCTAGAATATGAAAATAATATAAATACATGTAGATCATTTACTGTAATCATTAATATTGGAATGTGAAGAGACTTTAACCAGCACAACAACTCATGTTTCTGAAGACAATCACCTACTGCACCAAAAAGGCTAATAATTCTGATCCTAAACTGGTCTTTCTGTATTATTCCTAATTTCCTTGGAACACTGAGTGTGTTAAACCGTGTTTTCCCTATGGACTGATGAAGGCGAGTGTGTTAAAGTGTGTTTTCTGTTTGGACAGATAAAGACGAGTGCTCGAAGGAGAACGGCGGATGTCAGCATGAGTGTGTGAACACCTTCGGCAGCTACAGCTGTCAGTGCAGGAGCGGCTTCGTCCTGCATGAGAACAAACACGACTGCAAAGAGGGTGACACACACACACGCGCACACACACACACAAACACAGATAGATAGACAAAAAGATACACACACACACACACACATAGACACACACAGACAAAAAGGCAATATAGTTGATGTTAATTAATGCATTCACCAATTGATAGGAATCTGTGTGTGTGTGTGTGCGTGCGTGTGTGTGTGTGTGCTCGCTGTGTGTTCAGTCTTGTTTTATTTGATCAGTGTATGAGTGCTCAGAAAGCTTCTCTATTGATTTCAGCTCACTGACATTAACCAGCGTCTGGATATTTTTAGAGACGCCTTCCTCTTGTGCGCAGGAATAGAACCAGTGTGATGTGTGTGTGTGTGTGTGTGTGATGTGTGTGTGAGAATGAGTATTATGAGGAACGGGTGTTGGAGAAGCAGAAGCAGCAGTGGATCTCAGCGTCTGTGTGTGTGCGTGTGCCTGCTTCTGTGTGTGCACATACATATGTGTGTGCATGAATATGTATGTGTGTTCGTGTGAGTGTGCAATCGCATGTGTGTGTGTGTGTGTTTGACAGTGTATGGGTGTGTATATATGTGTGTATGTGTGTGTGTGTGTGTGTGTTATGGGGAGGCCATGTGTTGTGAATTAGGCCTCCTGTGTATTTCACAGCTGTGCGTGTGTGTGTGTGTGTGTGTGTGTGTGTGTGTGTGTGTGTGTGTGTGTATGTATGTGTGCGTGTGACCCAGCTCTCGCACCTCCTCCATTCTCATGTTAATTCTGCAGACCGACAGTAGATACTGGTGTTTCTGTCTGCTGAATTGTTCTGTATGTTGAGTTCTCGTCTCCTCAGTCCATCATATGTTCACCAATAAACACTGGAGCTCATGTAAAGGCGCAGTCCACCCACACATCAACACCTCCTCATCACCTCCTCTCCCTCCAGTGCTTCTACACCAGCTTCTTTCTTCCTGTTGAACACTAAAGCAGATATTCTGTAGACTGCTGGAGACACTGCCTTATATATAGGAACAAAATACTCTTATTTAACACTTTTTGTGTTTAAATTAGTCCAAACATCTCCAAACTCTGCAGTTTTGATCCTCAGTTGATGATTTCTG